CTTCACGGTTGGCTTCGTCTCGTCGAGATAGGCGATTTTCATATATTATATGTTAAATTACACCTTCCGGATTAGGAGATATCGTCGTTTCTTTGTGGCCAACCATTTTGAATATGATTTCTTTTCATATTGGATTTTTGATTTTCTCCGGCTTCTACAGGCTACACGACTTGATTCTGGGCTTTTGGATAATTTGGAAATTGATTTTTCAATGTGCTTCTTTGCTTCATTTCTTCATTTAATCAATGGGTTTCTGTTGAGAAATGAGAGTTTGAGATTTATTCTTCATTAACCTGCATTTAAAGATAAAAACAATTATTAGTGGTATATTTATTCATATAAAATAGATAATGAGGGTATAAAATTGTAATAAAAATTTGATTATCACAAGCATATTAGTTTAAAATCCGATCATGAGTCGCTAGCTTCCAAACTTGATATTGTTGTTAAAGAGAATGCTATTTTGAAAGAAAACAATGAGTTATTAAGTTTGGAAAATAATAACATGTCTTCATCTATTGCTAGCTTAACTCATGCTAAGAATGATGCCATGATAGAAGTAGAAATAATTAGAAATGAGTTTAATTCATTTAAATATGATCATGTTTCATCTACTTCTACTTCCAATGCTTGTATGCCTAAAAATGAGTTGGATCATGTTAAAGAACGCATATCATCTTTAGATTCAACCCTTAAAACATGCATTGTAGATAATAAGAAACTTATGGACTTGGGTGCAAAGTCTCGTACTACAACTTCTAAACCCGTACACTTTGCACACTTGTATAGCAAAGCTTATAAATGTTCTATTTGCGGTCGTAAAGGCCATTTAGCTAAGTTTTGCTATGATGCACATAAATCCTCCAAGACTAATGTTTCTTGTGCATCTCATAAGGCTTCTTCATCACATACACATGCACATACTCATCATGTTCATCATAAGCATGCTCATGTATTCGTTTTGATCATTTGGCCAAATATTGTTTTGATTTGAAAAATAAATCTCATTTGCCAAATATTTCTAGTAGACCACATGTTTATAAATGTAATGTTTGTGGTAAACATGGCCACCTAGGAAAGTTTTGTTTTGATAATGTTTCGCATTTGCAAAAAGCTTCCAATAATCTACCCTTATTTGTAAATGTCCCACGTGCACCTTTTAATGGTCCACATAAGCAAATGGTTCCTTTCCATTGTACATATTGCAATCGGAATGGTCATTTGAGTGATTATTGCTATGACCAATCCCGTGCACCATATATGCCCAAGAGGGTTCATAACCCTAGGGCTTTGAGCTTTATTGATAGGGGTCATGTCCCTAAACCCTTTGTACCAAGAGTTCTTGGGTACCAAAACAAATTTGATATTTAAACCAAGAATTTTAGTGTTTTTATTTTTCTTTTCTTGAACAATTTCTTGTATTGGCTAAATTCTTTTGTTTTCATGATCATTGGTTTTGCTTTAATGAGAGGTTTGCATTTATATAACCCTCCGGGTTTATTGGGTGTTTATTCCCAAATCATGTTTACCGGATGCTATAATGATTATATGGGTTAGAACAAGCTTAAGAGCTTGATATATTATTGCCTCTCTTGAAATTCTTTTATCAAAGATTTTGTTTTGAATTATTGCTTTGAATTCATTATATTTCACTTATATGATGATATTTATGTGTTTGTGCTAATGGATCATCTATTCGTGCTTGCCTTATAATGTATTCTATATGTGATTTGATCAAGTTTTACAAAAGAATTTTTTTTTGGATCAAACATTGTTTTTTAAACTTAAATCTTGATTTATGATTTTATTAATTACTTTGTTTTCATTTGAAAACTTTTTGCATGATTCTCATGTTCTATCTTTGATTTCATAAATCTATTTTTTATACTATGTGTTTTTATAATTGTGTAATGAGACACTTCTTTCATAAATGATATATCTATGTGTCCTCATTATCCTCTTGTATGTGAGTAATATTTAGCATATTTTTCATCTATGCTTGCTCACATGTTTGCCTTGCACTTCATTTCATATATATTCTATATGGCTTTTTGATAGGGGGAGCAATCCCTATACTTGTTTGATACTCACCTATGCTTATTGATAGGGGGAGCTTTCGCTCTCTTAATCCTTTTGTCCCCTTTTTGATGTTGTCAAAGGGGGAGAAATATTGTGAGTATATAATTTTCCTTGTTTATATGCATGTGTATTATCTTGTATATGTTCATTTCCTTCATGCATATACTTCGTTTTGTAAATTGTTTGTCATCATCAAAAAGGGGGAGATTGTTGGCCTTCTTGTTTTGATGATGATTTACAAACAATTTACTACTAATGTTGTTTGTCTAGTGTTTGGACATTCTTATGTATTGTAGACAAACAAAGTAGTTGGAGGATGGATGGAATAGAGCTTCAACGATCATATCCAAAGGAGGTTGGCGGAATGTCGGTGAAGCCTTGCTATTCAAAGTTCAAGATCCAAGTTAAAGCTTCATCCGAGAGATTACCTAGAAAGAGCTTCGTTGAAGATCAAGATTGCTTGGGTAATTTAGTTTAGGAGTTTATATTATGTGTGTTAGTACTTTAAGCTCAATCATATACTTATCTATACACACACATTTTATTAGTTTCCTTGTATATATATGTAATCACATATATATACAACGCAAGTTTTGGTTTTCATGTTTATAAATATGAAATTACATGTTTCATATTTATTATTGTGATTTGGTTTATCTACATAGATATGAAACAAATATATTTTCATATACATACTCATAGGTTTCATTTTCTATTGTATTTGTGAAAATATTGTATTCTTAGTTTGTAGACTTCAATATCAATTTATACATGTT